ATCTGTGTGACATCCAGCATGTAACAACACTGGACTGTGCGACTGCACCAGAGGGTGTCACCTGGACAGAGCAGATGGGAGTCAAGCAAGGTAAAAGCTGATGGGGAAACAATCCTTGAAACACTGTCAGGGAAGACAACAGTCTGCATGGGGCTCTCCAGGGCTTGACAGCTTGACCATGGTGTGTGCCTGGCTTGTTAAATGGGAGAAATGGTATCAACACACACACACATGCACAGACACTCTACGTCTTCAGTTTTTGCAGAGCAAAGCGCTTTCTGCTGCAGCTCCTCAACAACCTGTTTGCAGGCACCCAGGGAAAGGAGTCCAGTACCTTTTATTTGTAACAGCCTCCAACTCAAAAATATTGAAGTCCCAGCTTTCCTCATTATCCAGGAGCTGTGCAATACAGGGCGGAACATCATTGATGGTGTTTGGCACTGAAAGGTGACTATGGCTCAGGTTCATATCTCTTGGAATGGAATCTGGGGATTACAACATTTCTGGATTACTTTTCCCCCTACATGCAGAATTCCATTTAGAAAACAAATCTTTTTCAAGAAAAACAACTCTTCTCCTTATGTGAAAAAGTCTGTAAAAGCCTATAATATATATGGTTTATATTATTACAGATGATTTGGACATTAGCCAAAGAGATCAGTGAACATTTCTTTGAATGACATTTTAATTACTTCCTACTCTGATTTTCTAGATTTTGAAATGCATTATTTTAATTATTTGAACCTGTTTCAACTCCAAAAACAGTCTTGCACTTGTTCTGCAGTCACTTAGACAACCATTTCCAAAGACATACATCCCACTGCAAATTAGCTTGGATCTCTATGGTGCTAGTGTCTACAAAAGAAGTCACACATGCCAAAGGAAGTTTAAAATGGTGGCTTACTCTTAGAAAACACATACTCGTTTCCTGACAGTCTTCTCAAGCCATCCTGAAAAAAGCAAGTTTATTATAAATTTTTTTATTATAAATTTTAGGCAGAGTATCCATACATCATTAATTGCAAAAACACTACATGTACTTTCTCTTTAGGTACTACTTAAGAGGAGAATAACCTTCCCATGATTCAGGAGGA